AGTGAGTTATTTTTTAATTCCTAATTAAAGTTGTAAGTATTGTATGTATATAAACCTGGCTGGGGTAACAGTTGGAGGCTGGCAATCTGTAATTTCTTTTTCTTTTTTGCCTTTTCTTTCTTTCTTTTTTTTTTTTTGGAAGTTCTACTTCCCATTCTAAGGTAGGGTTGTCAGAATAAAATTGCTAGTAGGTTTTCCCGCAGGGACAACTCTATGGCATGAAGTTTTTGCCTCTACCACTCCTGTAAGTTTCTCAGTCATCTGAGAAAGCTGTTACCAGCCAGGAGGAGGGTCCCATTTTTGGAGTTGAAATGTTCATCATAAGAATTTTACTATTATCCTGAAAAATTCAATGGAGTTAACCAAATTGATGAAAGCATTAGACCAGCCTCTTAACTAAACACTCAGTCCTGACCCCAGTGTCTTTCAACATGGACCCACTCGGGATGTCTCCACTGGGTATTTTCTTGGTGTCTTACAACCAGCCACACCTCGGACGTCTCCTCAAGGTGGGTATTTCCCGTTATCTTTCAACCAGGCCCCACCCAGTATGTCTCCACTGGGTGGGTAATTCCCCCCAGTATCTTTCAACTGGAGGGCCAGGTACCTGGATACACCACCTAATAAAACTCAGGATTATCAACAAATATGGGAGATCCGAGAACCAGGAGAGACTCACCCAAATTCATCTGGACTCCCCGAGGAGGGTATGGGCACAGAGGGCCACTGCTGGTACCAAGGCTCCAGTTCCTCGGAGAGTTGAGGTGGAGAGAAGTCTGCTCTGGGTCCCTTCATGGTGACCAAAACTGTTGACTGAAATACATGTTCAGTCTAACAGTTAAGAGTTATGTTTTATTTGGTGGGAGGACTCGAGCCGGGATGACAGTCTCTCAGATAGCTGTGACGGACTGCTACGAAGAGGTTGGGGTGGACCTAGGATATATAGGAGCTTTACAACAAAGACCAGGTAGTTGGAACAATAAAAGATTGCTTGCTATCTAAAGAAAGCCAGGTATCTCAAGTTAAAGTATTTAGTGCTTTCCTATGTACCATTTGGGCTGACTAGATTCATTCTTTCGACAAGCACCTAGTTATCTAGGGCAATTATCCTGTCTTCTTATTCTCAGTCTGTTCAGAGGGCACCATTGTGAGTGGCTGTAGAGGCTGGGCTTCAGGCCTGTCCTCGCTGGGGGGTGGCGGCAGCCTCTGATGACTTGGTTTCAGCATTCTTTGTTTACCGACATTGTTGTACTATTTTCATTCACATTGTAGCATTTTCATTCACACAGTGATTGTGGATAATCTGGAAACTTGGAAAGGAACCGAGATGGAATTACTGCAGGTCCCTTCTACTTTAATATTCCGTGTGCAAACATAAACACGGATGAAGCAAACATTTGAATTTGGTGGTGTAGGGAAGGGTTTCTGCACATTACAGGAGAATGCAAGGCAGAATTCCTCTTCCTTGTTGGCAGGGATGTGGGTCCACCTGTCTTTTCTGTAGCGCTTTCTGAGAACAGTTTATGGTAATTAACCAACATTGACAAACGGTGGCACACATTGCATTTTAAGAGCTGGCCTGTTCAAACTTGTGTATTGGACAGGTGGATTTCATAGGCAAGTGCTCAGGTGAATCGGAGAGAGGTGTAGCCCAGGCCTGGGCTCAGATTCAGGTTTAAATCATCATGTCCTCACCTTTGGGCCTTGGACAAGAGTGTAACCTCCCTAAAACTGTTGGTGAATCTGTGAAATGTGTATTATAATATACGTTTCTGCCTGGGATTGTTGTAAGTTGTAAACAGTATTATAACACATGAAACACTTAACAAACAGGCACTTAGAAGTGTTCACTGTGTCCATCCACCCCGCTTAGCGTGTGTCACGGCCGTAAAGGTAGCATGTGCCTGTTGAGGACACACTGGTAGCCCCTTGAATAGGTTGTGAATTGGGTGATTTCCTTTAATCCTTGAAACTCTACGTGCCATGGGCAGTTATTTTCATGGAAAGATGAGGAATCTTAGGGTAAAGAAGACTGTGTAATTTGCCTAAAGTCAGACCATAATTTTGGGTGCAGGGGCCCCGGTTCGGCATGGGCCCCTGGGCTTTCTGCCCTCTCCGTTCAGCCCCACAGCCAGACGTGGGTTTGCCTGTTTCCCAGCCTAGAATATACAGTAGTCAGCAACACAAACCTGGACCTGTGCTGCTTAAGCAAAAACTCCGGAGGAGAAGCAGGTACTAAAGGGATAAATGTAAAAACATACGACTGCACACTGTGATCAGCTCTGAGAAGGAAAATAACACGCCTCGCCTTGCAGCGCTGGGATCTTTCCCGTCAGGGCTGCTCTGGGGGTGTTCATTTCAGCTAACAAACTCTGCTTCTGCACCAAGGCAGGAAGGGAGGGCACGTGTGATCCGGTTGACTCGGCCTCGTTGATCATACTCATTCCCCATTCAGCTGAGCTGTCACGGGCACTTACCTAGTAAACAGATGTCGGCCATAATCATCACGCACTTTGCTTGGTAGTTTTATTGGTCTCACATTTGAGAAGAGGTCATTGAAGCTGGGGAGTTTGCTGCATGCCCGTGATTACCTTGGAAATACCCCCACTGGTCTTTCAACCTAGACTGTTATGGCTGTTATATCCCAGTCTTGTGAATGGCATAGTGTAGCTTCTCCCAAGTGGCCCAAATGACTGACATTGATGTTCTTAATCCGTAGGAAATGGTATGTGACAATAAGGGGAAAAGGTAGAAAGAAATTGTTCGGAAAACTAGAACAAAATCCAATACTTCCCCAGCTGGTGTAGCGTACCCTGTGTCACTCATCCCACTCACAGCCTGACACCTCCTCCCTGCCGACCCTGTGTTCAGAAGCCACTCTGAGCATATGAAGAACATTTTGCCTCATGTCACTTTTGACCAAGACCTGTGACCTCTCTGTCCCTGGTTAACTCTCTCTTCAAAGCCATTTAAATTTTATGCAGGCTCCTCCGCTCAGATGTAAGAAAAGCCTCTTTAAACTTCTTGATGCAGCTCCTTAATGAAGATCTTGCGAAGGAAACCTAGTCAAAACCTGGGATGTATGCACATAGTGACTGTAATCTCAGCATTTTGTGAAGTTCAGAATCAGAGGGGTGGGAGACACAGGAAAGGCTTTTTAAGGTAGGGGAAAGTGAAAGGACGCAGGCTGTGTGAGACTGAAACATCTCGGTCCCAGCCAGCAAGGCAACTGCGTTCAGGATGGTGTGTGGGGTGTACAGAGTTCCCACAAAGAAAGAAGTGGTGGGGAGGGAGGACAGATAGATTCTTTACTAGGGAAGGAAAAAGTGGGCTGAAAACTTCCTGGTTGAATAAGAGGACTGTGACATGATGTGCTTGTATTTTGGAGAGAAGGGTTTTGTGGGGACAGGCCTAGAAGAACGCTCTCTGGCTGGGGAGCCAGCACAACAGGGAACCACAAA